GGGGGGGGGGGGGGGGGGAGGGAGAATTAATTATAAAAAGACATCCAAAATACTCTTGAAATTCTATGAATAAAGAGTATAGGGACTCTCAAGATAGGGGTACCAACTTTGGTACCCTAAAGAAATCATAGTAATGTGCTAGAAATTCTTTTCAGCGGTCAATTGCAGATGTCAGGGCCTCTGTTCCAAGAAGCCATTGAAACATTTGACAGATGTTTCATTGATTATTTTTTAATTCTCTGTGCAAATAAAGTTTCAAATTCACAATTAAAATTTCTGGAGCACTCTGCAGGTCATTCATTTTTAAATCTGGTCTGTTTATCCAAATAAGGATCTGCTTTGTCTAAAGTGTCCAAAAAAGGCTGTCTGAAAAAAATAGGAATTGCTTTATATTTTAAAAAAATAAAGACAGCTGAACAAAGGAATGCCATGAAGAACCTATGTTGAACTCTGGGTCTGAAGTAGATTGAAAAAAGTTTTCCTCCAATTCCTGATCTCTTTTGTGGAGTCAAGATGGTAAATACAAAAAGCCTGGAATAGAGCAGAGTGGGATGTTTCACCAGGCATTTAGCAAGACACAAAGCATGTATCTTTTCTTCAGGATTCTCTATAAACCATTACATCCACTGCTTGGAGGTAACCCAATCTAATATTTACTGTGAACATTCAAATCATGTGTTAAGAAAGTGACTTGATCTATCTCCTAATGAAAAGTGCCTCTGGATGGGTTATATCAGCAAGCTAACAGGAAATGAGCAAAAGAGCAATACTTGAAAGCAATAGTTTGTAATCTCTTTCATACATACTTTTATTCTACGGATGATGAACCAGGAGATATGGTACAGTAATGCTGAGAGCTAGACAAAGAGAAGAACCCCAGGACAGTGAAAATGCTTTAGTGTAAAGACATAATTAGTTGCCTGGAATCACAAGAACACAGATTCCCCTCTGCCCCATGAACTCACTGTGTCCTTAGGTGGTTAAGTCATTGTGATAGTAAATCTGAGGGATGGAATGCACCTCAATTAAGGCTTTTGGGGGGGGGGGGGTTGATCACACAGATAGCTTGTTTTATGGGGGATGGGATTAGAATCTGGAAATAGGTAAGAGAATGTTAATGGATAGAGGATGAAGGAAAGATTGAATACACTAGAGGAAAGCATCTGGATATTTTGAAGCTTTAGCTAAACTGAATATTTGGAAATTTACTTAGAACTAATTTGAAAATGTAATAGAAAGGGCATAATATGAATTGGAAAGGGAAGTATCTTTCTCAATAATGACTTATAGCCTATGGCATAAGTGACAAAAAGTTATTTATGCATTCTTGTATCCTCATCATGTGGCTTCTTAAGGGATATATATGATGATGAATAATTAGAATGTAGTGGATCACAGTAATTATTTATATAGGAAAGTCCTGTTTAGGGAGTTAGCCATTATCCTCACACATATTTTCCTTTTTATTTCTGTGAGTATGGATAGAGATTTGCTCCCAAACTCTGAAAAGGGTACAGGCTTGTCCCTATGATTGGTAATTCTCCAATAGCCAACATTATCCGAACTATGTAGACCAGGGTGGGGAATCTAAGGCCTATGGACTAGATCCAGCTCCCAGTTTGCCTGGATCAGTTTGCCCCGAAGGCTCAGGACTCCCCTCCCCAGCATTAGAGAACCTGTCCTGGCACTCCAGCCCCACACCCCCAACCTCCCCGCAGATCCTCCTGCAGGGCTGAAGCACCAGCACCAGCACCAGCTCCTCGCTGTGGGAGGAGAAGTCCTGAGACTTGTGGGCTGGCATCAGGCAAGACAGAGCAGGATCTGATCCATGGGCTCTGCCAGATGGGGGAGAAATGGCTTCATGTGCTGCCGCTCCTCCTCCCCATTGTTGGCAAGTAAAGCACTGCTCTGAGGCTTTCCCCCACAAAATCTGCTTGCCCAGGCCATCAGACTTTGCTGTGCAAGGAGACTGTCTTTCTGGTTCTCAATTGGGGGCCATGTCAGAGGTGGCTTTGGGGTTTTTATGCTTCTAACTTTTGTGCGGCCCCTGGCTGATTGTTCTGTGGGTCAGCAACCCCCACCCCAAAAAAGGGTCCCTACCCCGACATAAATCTTTAACCTTACTGGGGGATTTCCATGAAGCCCACAGGAAGGAAGGAGTGATACTACAGAGGCAATACCTTTTGTATCCTTCTTCAGTCAAAAATCTCTAGCAGATTTGCCTCGTAGATTAACAGATGCAGAAGGAAAAAATTGGCCCTGTCCTTATTTAGTGACATCAAATCTGGTTGTCCTAAGATCTCTTTTAGTCTAGCTTTGAACAGAAGCAAAATATAATAAAATCTCATGCAACATCCTGCCTGTGACAGGGTGTTCTGCGTATTTATTGACTGCATAGATTTAGGTGGCAAGCACCTGGTCTGACCCTTACCAAAGGCAGCTGGTTTTTACAATGTGTTGATGTGTTCCACCAAATTACCTTCTGTAACTGCATGTTCGTCACACTACATGACCAATACAACTCGAACTGACACATCTCCGAGGAATGAACTTTGGGCGAGAGGAAAAAGAAAATTTAAGAATCGCAGTGAAAGAAAGATACAATTCTTTATAATATTGCTGTGCTGTCCCTTCGTTCCCTTAAAAAATGCCATCACATGCAATCAATAATATGCAAAGCAATATTAAAATATATAAGCAAACAGATTATCTGTATATAAATGGACAGACTGGTTTCAAGGCATACACAGATGAATGTTTTCCTTTTAAATACCACATAGTTTCATCAGATCATAATGACTGTTAGATAAAGCACAAATGGTATTTAAAAAGCACCAAAGACCAACCCCTCAATCTTCATGAAAAAGCTACTTTTTAAAAATAAGCCCTTTCATTGTACCTGGGGGTGGGGGAGAGGGAGAGATTTGTGAGGTGTTTACAGACTAGATGCTGAGATCCAAATTAGAGACCTTCTGTTCTAAAATGAGCTCTTCCAAATGAGCTAATGAAGTACTGTACTGTAACTTCACTAGCTCAGCCTGACAACCATTACTCCCAGCTCTGCAAACACTGCTTTAAATCTCTGTGTATCCTTGGTGACTGTTATTAGTAGGCTTGGATGTATTTCACTAGACATTTGCAATTCAGCTAAGGAAATTCTCAATCGGAACCAAGCTATAATGGAGCTAAAGATGTTACAATCTCTGAGGGCAATGACTTGGCCTGCCTGGAAATGTTTGATTTTGATAACCAGTGAATTGCTGAAAGGGCAGCATTTTCTCTTCTTACTCTAACAGTGTGCATTTTTGCTGCATCCACTGACAATGTGTGAATCTAATTTATGTAAATTTGTTAAATAATGTCCAAGCCCCTTAACGTCTCACATACAGCTGTAAAACTACAGACGTGTTATCTTTCATCTCAGCTACTCAGGGAAGAGTGCACTGATCTTGAAATAATGATTTGTTTTCCGCATATTTATCTTAGTAAGTTATTGACACCATTTACTTTAACTAGTCACTAATCTGGGGTCATGCAGCACTCACAAGCTTATTATATTTATTGATATCTGTAGGCTGGTTCACATCATTAGTCAAATTGCATACACGGGGACAGGTTCTCTATCACAGTGTATCTGATTCCTATTGACCTACTGGTGGATTCTGAGGGCAAAGCCTGCTTCTCCAGCCCCAGGAACATCCCAGGGGAAGCAGGATCTTCTGTGTTGTACATCATGGCAACCCCTTTCCTTGCTGGTGATATGTGGGGTATGAGTGGAGGAAAGGGAGGGTGAGCTAAAGCACCCTTCTGTACCTTGGTCCCTGCCTGCTGTTTCAGCCCCTTGTGGCTGTTGGATCAGCCCCTACATTGATCTCATTTATTCCTGAGGACCAGGCCTGCTCACAGTTGTTCCAGGCATTGTGGATAAGTGGTTGGATGCCATTTGTCATCTTTTCCACTTCCATTTTTTTGTCTTTATTTTAAATGTTACCTCACAAAAATAATGTGTTTTTGATTCACAGAAATTAAGAAATCCTCAAAGAGGAGATGTGCCGGCTGAATTTAGGAGCTTTCCTTTCCATTCTATGAAATGTAAAATATTGCCTTTCTGTCCACACTTGTTCCAATTATCTGGCTGGATGGGTGCGGGAGGAAGGGGGGGGGGGAAGAGGTGGTAGAGTTTTTTCTTTGCTGTTACTGATGGGTAGAATTAGATGGCTAGCATTCTGCAACTGGCACCGCTTTAGATGAAAGTCTCTGGAGAAAATCAAAGGCAGATGTGAAGAAATGTTACATTTGACTCTGGCCAGAACTCTGTGTAAGGAGCTGTGGTTGATCAATACTGGCCCTATTAATTCTGATCCTGGACGGATGATCATTGCTTCTGTTCCCTCCCCAGAGTTAAATTACTTTGAAACAGCACAAAAACTGTTTGCAGGAGTTAGTCAGAAAGCATACAAAAATATTTTCTCCCACCCTGCCAAATATAACTCATCATTTCACATACTGAATAGAGATTTGGTGTTATACTGCACCCTTCCTGTGCACCAAGTTCCCACACCCCACCCCAAAGCAGTTTATAATGCTTGAATTACCGGAGGTATTGGTAATGCGATGAGTGTGTAGGCACTAAATCAGCAATGGTTCAAGCAGAGCTGTGCATATTCAGAACTATGTTACTGAGATAGGGAATGGTAGAGTACCCTCCTTATGGGATCTTTCATTTCCACCTGCATTACTGACTACTAATCAGCTGCAGGTGGCTCAGTTTAACATTTAATCTAAGCATGCAGTACATCCTTAACACTGTACAGCAGTGCCCACTCTGATGAGTATGAAAAAGGGGCCATATGAATGTAACCCCATATGTAACGCTAAGGGATTAGCACTTTAGCTGGTGTGAATTGACATTCCTCCATCAAAGTCAATGCAAGAATGCCCATTTGCACCAGCTGATGACATAGCCATCAACATTTTGATCAGACGCTAAGCCTTTTCTACATTTCTTTTCAAGTCGTCAGGCTTATACTTAAATAAACAATCCTACCAAGTGAATTCAACTAGCTAATTTATCAGTTCTTCAGGAGCTGAGATCAGAAAAAGAACAAACAAATTCAGGCACCATTTACGTTTTAGATCATCTGCCAAGCAGCAAAAAGAAGGCAGGAGAAACACATATGCTTACAGACATTTATCTACCTTTGTATTTTCTGAACCGGGAATCCAAATAAGTTAAGGGGGAAAAAGACAAAAGAAGGCATCATTCCAAAACAAGGAGACACATAATAGAAAATCCTAGTGTTTGTATTAATGTTTTATCCATTCCTTCCTGAAGAATGCTTCAACTGACTTTTTGAGCAAGACAGGACTGAGCAAAATCAGAGGATTCAGTTGTGTCTATAATGCACAATCTGCATTTAGCTTGGGAGAGGAAGGATGGCCTCATGGTTTTCTCCTGCATGCTGGAGCTCTGAATCACCTTCCCTCACTACTGGCAGAGCCCTATGGGTTCCCTGCTCCCCCACCAAAGCACCTGGCTGGCCCCTGCTTCTCTCTGAGCCACTGGACCCCTGAGTATTAGGACAGCCCCAGGGCCTGGCCAAGCTACCTCAGTCCTCTACCTGCCCACCATGAGACCCCCAACCAATGTTGGCTAACCTCCCCCTAACAGATCCCCTGCCTGATGCTGGCTCCCCACAGGCCTTTGTGACAAGTTCCCCCTGAGGTGCCAGTTGGAACTGGGGTACCACCAAGCCCCCAACTCACCAGCCTTTGCATAGTATTGTTGTGACCAACCTGCACTTTCCCTAACACACATAGGTAGGGACATATCCAGCTGCAGTTATAGTTGGGAGCTGTGATCAGCCCTGAATTAGAAGGCTCCAGCTAGAGAAACACCCCACCCCTCTGGGAATATAAATCCAAAATTGTACCATCTTGTGCTGGACAAGGAATTGTACTGTATAAGCTCATGAAATGCATCCGCTTCCTCAGTGTGGAGAGGAATATACAATAGCTTTCCATCCTCAGTTATGACTCCAACACACTGGTTTTAGACAAAGCAAAACCAAGTATTATATCAGCAAAGGTTAGATTATAAGGGATAGCTCAAACAGATCAAAGCAGATTACCTAGTAAATAAACAAAAATCCTACATTTAATATACTATACAGATTGGATGTAAAAAGCAAATTTGCATCCTGAATGATACAAGCAGGCTACAGGCTTCTAAGGGGCAAACTGCACTTGCTTACAGCTTGTAATCCCCAAGAATTCTATTCACAAGCTAAAAATCCCTTTAGCCTGGGTCCAGCACTTTTCCTGGTTTAGTCTTTGTTTCCCTTCCCTACGCAGCTTTTCAGAAAGAAAGCATCTTGCCTACACATTTGTGATATTGATACATAGTCAGTATTCCCAGCTTCAGAAACAAACAAACAAAACACATGCATACAAATAGGATAATCATATTCAGCAAATCATAACCTTTCCAATAATATTTTGCATGACCTATCTTGCATAAAATATACATGTCATATCACTATGAAAAATATGGGATGCAGTTGCCACACTCTCCTCATTACCCTGCCACTGAGAGGGAGGGACTTCGTAAGAAGCAGGAATCTCTAGAGTGTGGAGTGGAGTGGAGGAAGACTTATCAGGTATAGCAAGCAGCATAAGCTTTGAAGAAGCCACTATGCCCCAGATATCCAGTGGCAGGGGGGGGCACCTATTATACCCACTGCCCATGGATGGTCCCCTATTTAGAGTATTTGCCTGGGACTCGTGCAATCCAGATTCACTTCTCTGCTCTGCCAGAGACTTCCTGTATAACTATGGGTACATCATTTAAACTTTCTGCACCTCAGAGCTCACCTGTGAAAGGTGGATAACAACACTGACTGAGCTCATAGAGCCAATGTGAAGAATTCAGAAACTATAGTGATGGGAGCTCGATCAGTTCATAGAATAGCTTGAATTTGGGAGGGGAGGGGGGCAAACAAGATAGCCATGGCTCTGCCTCCTCTTTGTTTACTTTGGAGTAATGTGCACTTCAGGGACTAGTCCCTGTACTGTACTGAGTAAAGATACTAGAGCTGACCTTATGTAGGGCACATAAGTGATGAAGCATCTTGTGCCCTCCATGGAGAGTCTGCCCAAATGTATAGGCTTGTTTACAAAGAGCAGCAAAGCACACCCGGGGCGGGGAGGGGAGTAAGGGGGCTTTCTAAAGTGCACCAGAGTGTTGTATCCATGTAGATCCTGCTGGTGTGAACTAAAAGTTCCCTAGTGCACATCAGATTAAGCCCAACAGGCTAGGGCCAAAAAGAAAAAGAGGTGACTAAGGGTATGTCTACACTATAAAGTTAATTCGAACTAACAGACATTAGTTTGAATTAACTTTGATAGGCGCTACACTAGCAAACCGATAGTTCAAACTTAATTCGAACTAGTGGGAGGCTAGCCCTCCCCAGCTTTTCCTGGTGGCCACTCTGGGCACCGTCAGGGAAACTCTTCTGCCCCCCTCCCAGCCCCAGTGCCCTTAAAGGGGCACAGGCTGGCTACGGAGCCCGTGCCAGGTGCAAGCCTGCCAGCATCCAGCCAGCAGAACCTGCACCTGGCACGGCACGAACCAGCCACCCGCTGCCACCCAGCCCTCCGCCTCTTCCCGAGACCAGGCTGGCAGCTCCCGGGAGCCTGCCCAGGTCCGCAAGAGGCGGGCGCCCTCCAGGTCTAGTGCAGACGTGGACCTCATACACGACCTCCGCACCAGGCACAGGAAAGTGGCCGTCTAGGGCAGGATAGCTGCCAGCCTGGCCACCCAGGAGCAGGTTTGCATGAAAATCAAGGTGGTCCAGTAAGACCCCCGACCCTGAGCCCTGAGCTTAGCATGGCCGTACTGGGTCAGACCAAAGGTCCATCTAGCTCAGTAGCCTGTCTGCCGACAGCGGTCAACACTAAATACCCTGGAGGGGATGGACCAAAGACAATGACCAAGCCATTTGTCTCATGCCATCCATCTCCAGCCTTCCACAAAGAGAGGCCAGTAACACCCTTTCTACCCCCTGGCTAATAGCACTCCATGGACCCAACCTCCATGAATTTATCTCACTTCCCTTCAAACTCTGTTCTAGTTCTAGCCTTCACAGCCTCCTGCAGCAAGGAGGTCCACAGGTTGACTATTTGCTTTGTGAAGAAGAACTTTCTGTTCTTAGTTTGAAGCCTGCTACCCATTCATTTCATTTGGTGTCCTCTAGTCCTTCTATTATGGGAAATAATGAAGAACTTTTCTTTATGCACCCTCTCCACACCACTCATGCTTGCATAGACCTCTATCATATCCCCCCTCAGTCTCCTCTTTTCTAAGCTGAGAAGTCCCAGTCTCTTTAGCCTCTCTTCATATGGGACCTGTTCCAAACCCCTGATCATTTTAATTGCCCTCCTCTCTCCAACCTCTGTCTTCCCCTCTCCCACCTCCTTTTCCCAGTCTCCCCAAGTTTTGTTAAATAAAGAGAGTTTCTATTTTTGAACACACGTGTCCTTTATTTTGTACCTCAGGAAGGGGGGTTAGGGAGGGGTAAGTGGAAGGAGGTGAGGGAGGAATGGGGTACGAGCCCCCAGTGGGGAGGACTGGGGTGGCTCTGCGGGCTCCTCGGGGTGGAAGCTCTCCTGCAGCCCCACGATTGACCCCCCTTCCCGGATGGCAGCCTGCGGCAAGTGAAGCCGGGCTGATGGCTGAGGGCTGTGATGTGCCGAGTGTAGGCATTCAGGGCACCCCAAGCCAGGACTGCTTTGCTGTCCTTCATCGAGTTAGACAAGTGAGTGGGGAACCCCTTAGAACTGTCTGTCCAGGGTGGGGGTCGGGTCCCTTTAAGCACAGCCCTCGGCTAGGCTGAGGCAGCAGCTCCATGCTCTAAGATCTAATCTGATGCCCTGCTGGCACTGCTTCCGGCCATCCTTAACCCCGTTTCAGGGTCCACTCAATGTGGATATGCTAGTTTGAATTAACAAAACGCTAATTCGAACTAGTTTTTAGGTCTAGATGCACTAGTTCGAATTAGCTTAGTTCGAATTAACTAATTCGAATTAAGTTAGTTCGAATTAGTGCTGTAGTGTAGACATACCCTAAAATATCACTGGGATTCACAGAACCTAAGTTCAGTATTAGACTGAACCATGATCAGAGACAGGAGTGCCCTGCTTAAGGTAGCCCATGAAACAACAGTATGTGTTAAGCCCTTCCCCTCTGTCATTGATAGGTGCTTAAATCCATGCTGTAGGGAGACACAGCCCGCAGCATCAAGGGGGAGGAGTCCCTTTTTCACACCTTTTAATTAGTCAATAGGGGACTCACCAGGCATGTGGGAGATTCAAATTCCCTCTTACATTCTTGGAAGGAGAAGAATGAATTTGGTCTGTGATGTACTACCATGAAGTGAGTGCTCCAACCACTGAATTTTGTGAGGTGGCGTGCTCTTGTTTCTTCTTGTTGAATTTGTTCCACTCTGAGTACAAATAAAATATTTTTAGAAGCATCTGGAGGTTGGTAGACTGGATCATGGATCTTCCACCTCCTAGGTAAATGCATTAACCACTAGGTGACAGACTCATTCTCACACCTCTCTCTCTTTGGCGTGGTGATTCTTTCAGTATTTAGCCACAGTGGAATGACTATAAACCTGGGCAAGCCTGTGTGAGAATGATTCTTTAGCCCGGTGACTGGACCATTCACGTGGAGGGCACAGGAGCCAGTCCTGTTGCACCATTGCCTTTTTAAAATTATATATCCACAGTGCAAGCGCTTCAATAGGACAGACTGAGGAAGCTCCACTCAATATCTCATTGAAATAGCAGAGGAGGTGTAACATTACAGGAGGTCTGGGGCACCACTGAGAGGGTCAAATCAGGGAGAAATGCTTAGAACCAGGGCTACTTACAGCACAAGACTGGGGTCCTTCTCTTTAAGGCCCCAAACACACACAGCACTCCACACACAACACTCCAGCTACCAATCTGGCCAGCAAGTAGTTGCACAAGCAAATCCCCTTAGACACTCCAGCTTTTCCTGTGCCAGAACTAGCACTGCACCTTACACAGATGAAAGGCTATAAAAACCAATCTCACCAATTCCAAACAAGTTCTCTCAGTCCTGAAGGACCAGCCAGAGTTCCAGGTCAATATACACCTCAGATCTTACCCAAAGAGCACGCTGTGCCAATCCTTTAGAATCTAAAATCTAAAGGCTTATTAATAAAAAGAAAGAAAAGGTTGAAAGTAGGATTATTAGAGAAAACACATTATATACATCAATCACCAAGTTCGTGATGCAGGCTCTTCGCAGAGATGTATCAAACTGCCAGCTTAAAAGTCCCTCTAGAGTACATCGTATGTTAGACTGGGTCAACAAATTCTTCCTGGCCCTCTGTCCTTAGCAAAGGTGCTTTTAGAGTCAAGAGCAGGACTGAAGACCGAGATGGAGGCATTCCCAGGATCCTTTTATAATATTGCCCATGCAGAGGTAATGGCAGGAAATCCATTGTTCCCCTGAGTGATAGAATCTCCCAAACTGGAGCTGATTACATGATCAAGAGACTTGCCCATGTCCCTTTGGGCAAGCTGCCATGGTGTGCCTGCTGGTTTGCAAGGGTGCGTCTAGATTACATTCCTCCTTCGAAAGAGGAATGTAAATGAAAGAAATTGAAAATGCAAATGAAGCGCAGATTTACAAATCTCACGCTTCATTTGCATAATCACATCCAATCGCTTTTTCAAGAAAGGTTTTTTCAAAAAAAAGCAATCTAGACTTTTTCAAAAGAACCCTTATTCCTGAAAAGATGAGGTTTACTGGGTTCTTTCGAAAAAGGGTGGTTTTTTTTAAAGAACCACGTCTAGATGGGGGTTTTTTTTGGAAAAAGCAATCGGACATGATTATGCAAATGAAGCACAAGATTTGTAAATCTGGGCTTCATTTGCATTTTTGATTTTCTTCATTTACATTCCTCTTTCAAAAGGGGAATGTAGTCTAGATGCACCCCAGGTTCCCAGCCACATTCCTCAGGTGTTTAGTGGAAACACTGAGAGCCTTTGTCCATGCAGCATCGCTATTTAGCATAGCTATTCATTGAATAACCCCTCCTTACAATGGGTAGTCAACACCTATTGCTGTCTCTCAACCAGAAAACATTTTAAATACAAGTAAAGAGTACATAGTCATAACTTTATATATAAAATCATACAAGTACATGAGTAGCATACATAGAATCAGCAGAGCATAAGCTTTCATTAGACACCTCACTTGGCCCAATTTGCACAGAATTTAGAGCAAACACACAACAGTGGGTACAACAATGATCATCCTTTTCCTATTAAAAGGAGGGACTTAGATCTGGGGGACTCTCAAACAGGAGTAGCCTGAGGCCGGCTGTGGCAGCTACCGCCCCAGGTGGAAGGTGCGATTGGCACCCCAGCCCGCATGGCCGTCAATGGCTGTGACGTAATCATCGGGTGCCTGGGCGCCCCGTGACGTCATCATCAGGCGCCCTGGGCAGGCGGCGCACTAGGCGACCACCGAGTTTTCCTATGCTCACGGGTCGCCCCTGCTCTCAAATCTCCCATGAATACCTTAGCCACTGTGCTGAAAGTTAGGAGGGAGGTGATCTGTCTCCTTTCCCTCTACAACTCAGTCTTATGTAAGCTTCTATAGGGCAGGGGTGGGGATCCTCAGACCCAGGGGCCAGATGCAGCTTGCTTGGATCTAGCCCCTGAGACTTGGGACTCCCCCTTCTGCATTGGGGAGCCCGCGTGGTCCTCTAACCTCCCCATTGTTCCCTCTGTGGGTCTGGAGCACACAAAATCTACTAGACTGAGCCCCCCCCTCCAGGCTCTAGTGTGTGAGGGGAATGTGGGAAGTATCTTTCTCCTTTTCACTTAGGGCCATGTCATGAGGGGTTTTGTTTGTTTGTTTGTTTGTTTGTTTTGTTTTGTTTTTGTTTTGTTTTGTTTTGTTTTGTTTTGTTTGCTTGGGGTTTTTTGTTTTGTTTTGCTTCTCATTTGTGGCAGTTCCTGACAGACTTTACTGTGAGTCAGCAGCCCCCAACCCAAAAGAGGTTCCCCACTAGGAGAGGTCTGAGCACACATCCCAGATCTCAGGTAAGTTAGATGAAGGAAAGCCTGACTCTCCCTGCTTTGCGCATCATTCTGGGGCTAAGGCATTCAGATGTGGGGCCTGGGGGGGGAGGGGGCGGGAAATGGGACTGCACCTTGCACCTTCAGAGGCAGAAACATTGGTATCTAGGACATTTAATACAAAAGTTTAGGCACTGAGTGCATTAGATCCCTACAGCATTCAGAGGAAGATGAGCAGGGGCTTTGTGAATTCCGGGGAGGGTGTATTCTGCGGTTTAGGCTTCACAAGTGGCACTTCAGTGCTTAGGTTTCCTATACCGAGCGGTATTGTATTTCAAAACTCTTAAGAGCTTGCTTCCAGACTCACAGTAGTTAATGGGAACTATGGCAGAGAATGGGTGTGTCTGACACATCATGAATACATGGTCTCCATAGACTACAAGAATACATAGACATAGACTATGCTATGCTATTGTGTAAGTATTCCCCTCAGCTGTATCACTCCGGAGGCTGTTAGTATGTATAATTCTGGCAGTACCCAGAAGAGTGCAATTAGGCAGGAATAACTCAGCCACCCGCCTGTCTCATTAGTGCAGAGTCAGGCTCCCTTGCTCATGGCATTTTACTTTACACTTACACCCGCAACTCTCTGCCGTGACTCTGTGCAGGATCAAGTCCTGTATGCACAAAAGGAAATGTGTTCCCCTTTTTAAACATTCTCTACCCCTTATTTCAGTAATCCCTCACCAGGGACTAGACTTAGCTCTTATTAAAATCTAACAAGTTTATAAGCTCTGAGCCAAGACTACTTTAACCCCCAATATCAATAGAAGGTATGAGCTGTTTGCCAAGTTGTTACTACCCACTCAAGGATAGGAATATCTTCTTATAGCCTCGCTATGAGCACTATACTTTTCTACACCTGAATCTTGGGGTTTGCAATCTCACTTACTTTTGTGGGCTGTGCTAGATTATTACTACTAGGTAGATTATTACTACTAGGGTTGAACTTTCAATGCTGGACTTGTAGTTTTATTCCCTTGTTTGTGTCTTTTCCATATTTTCTCCAGAAAGACCACAGAACGATTCTTTACACAACCTCTGTTATTAGCATCCTGGCTATGCTCTTCCAATCAGCCCTTTCCAGAGTTCTAAATATACACACAGAAACAAAGAAATGCATATTAAAAGTAAAGAAGCACAGGTGTGCCTTGCAGACAGCAGGGGTTTTAAAGTCTTTCAAGAGTCCTTGAATCATTATCCCTACATAATTGATATTGCAGCATTATATGCAAATTCTGGACCACCTCTCAAAGAGCTGAAATGAGACATTTTGAAAGGTGATCACTGGATTTCCACACTGCAGGAACACAACATTATTTATCATCCTCTACAATTGTGATAATTATTGACCAAGTGTAGGGTCATGCAGCTGATTAGAGCAAGAGAGGAGAGTATAGATGGTTCTGTGCCACTTTCCCTTGCTCTGGGCCAGCCAGAGGCCGTTTTAAACTTTGCCAGCTGCAGAGGTCACACATGAACTGCTGTGATGGTTCACAATCAACATACACTGCACCTTGTCCCATCTCTTTCTGCCCCAACAGAGAAGGGGGGACAATTCAAATCATGTTAATGTAAGGATACCCGCCCAAGGGAAGGAACACTCTGCTATGTTACCCAGCAACCTTAATCATCACAGGACCAAGAAACTAATAGGCTATGAGCCAAAGTTGGAGTCTAGATGCTGTGGGCTTTAATAAATTATCTTGCATGGGTACTTGAGAAATAACCACAGAAAGACTCTCTCTCCATTTGTGTCTACTGCACAAAAGTCAGGCAAATTTATCGCCCTAGCATTCAGTGTCTGGACTGCTCCTTCCCAGCATATGTAGCCGTGGCAATTCCCCACTTCTACATTGGCTGGACACATACTGGAAGGAATGTTCCATGCTCCCAAACAGTGGTGCACTGTGTCATGGCTCCTTCCCACTCTGACATGATAAATGCAGAAGTGGGGGCCAGCAAGTGTACCCCAAAGCCTTATCTACCAGGCTTTGGTATAAAACTTCCACCAAAACCTTAAAAACCTAGATCTTGGGAATAAAACTTCCGCTGCCACCACCTACATGTTGATAAAGAAATCAGGGGAAAGATCATTTGGGAAATCTCACCCCTAAAATAAAAATCAGGGCACACAATGCCAGGTTAATAAAAAGAAAAGAAAGAACTTTTATTATTACAACAATAATCCTGTTGCAAGCAAAATGACTAAATGGGAAGGTAACAAAATATACTCATAGAGAAACTCCATGGGCCTTAGTTACAAAGAAAAGCCAAAACATCTTTTAAACAGTGCCAGATATCAGATCCCATACCCAACCCTTAAAACAATAAAGCCTAACGAAACTACCTAAACCTTACCCTACTTACAGCAAGTGAAGAATTGTTTCTTGGAGAGAGAGAGACATGCTTGTCCCTCTCTGTAGCTGCAGAGGACTCACTCAGAGAGAAAAGGAGAAAGGAAAAAAACCAAATTCCTTTGTCCCAGTTTGAAAGTCCCAACTACATTCCTATTGGCCACTCCACCTGGCTAGGTGTGGTTAACCCCTTAATCCCCAGGCTGCTGGCTAACCCTCATAATCATGACACACTGTATGCACTCCCTTTCCACCTCAGGGAGGTCACAGAAGTAGCCCACCATCCTAAGCTCTCCATGGCAGGAAGGACCCAACATGGGTCTGGGTTTTCTTTTCACAATGCAATTTGGACATTAGTCCCTAATTTAGCAAAATCACTCGCTCATGCTTAATTTTAAACATGTACTCAAGTTATATTGACTAAGAATGTGACTTAGGCACATCCTTACAGGCTTCGCTACATAGCTAGGAACTAGACCATGTGCTTAAGAGCATAATATACATGTTTTGATGACTAGCAAAGTATTTAAGCATTTCCTTAAAGTTAAGCACTTGATTATGTACTTTTCTATATGAAGGCTAAGGAAGATGCAAGTGTAGCTAGATTTTTCCACAAAAAAATCATTCTTCAGTATTTAGTGAACATATGGGTTTAACATTCTTACTGATGCCTGGATAAGTTTCAAGTTCTTATAGTTGACTTCTGGGATTTCTATTCTTCTACTTACCCAAATATTTTAGGAAAACTACTTCATAAGAGCTTGTCTTCAGTGTTAGCTTTATGTGTAAATTGAGTGTTGTCCCAACCCAAATTGTTTCCACACATGAAAGTCTCTCAGTCCAAGTAAGCGGTTTCATCTTGAGTTAGCTGGCAGTCAGGAGGCTTATACTGCAATTTGATTGCTGCCAATGCTGGTGTCAGTAACACACTCTGTCCTGCAAATACTAAGGTCACAGGAGAAAGTCAACTTAAGCTATGCAACTCCAGCTATGTGTATGGTGACCATATTTTCTGAACTAAAATTAGACACATTAGCCACATCCCTGATCCCTGTTAGCAACATCCCCAGCCCCTGTTAGTCAGACCCCCTGATCCCTATTAATTTCACCCCCTGCCACAAAAAGTCCCACCCATGAAGGTAGTACTCCCGGGGTCAAGATGGACACATG